GGGAGTTTGGGGAGGAGAGGGAGCAGCCAGAGCCCCCCCTCACCTCTCGACAGTGGCAAGCTGTCTACTTGGCTCAGCCCGAACATGAAGCCACGTTCATAGATAGGTCAGTTGTGAACTTCGCTCCCATATTACAAAACTATTGTGGTTTTTATATTATGGTAATCAAATAACTTCTCTATGGTCTTTCTAGTTCACAATATGCTAGCATTTCAGTCCCCCCCTTTCTATGGGGAAAATAGCCACATGAGGTTAAAGGGTGTATGGAGAAACAGAGGCCGAAAACTCTGCAAAAGTCCCATATGAGATGTTTCTATGTGCAACTGGAAGGAAAGGGGAAGGGTACAGCTGCTGTTGCTTCTTCACAAAATGAGAGCATGGATTTATTTGGAGACTGTTTCTCGGGAGTCATCTAGGGGAAATTAGGTAAGAGCTAGCACAAGAGCTTGCCTCAGTGGACAAACCTTTGAGGCTAATGTAGAATATTTCCAACCTCAATGATGGAGGTTGGAAATATTCTTTGGGCCTGAGCATCCTGGAAAGTCAGTGCACAATGAGGGAGGAATGAATTTATTTTCAGGCTAGTAGGCACAAACTCTCTCTGACGTTGCTGTGTCTGAAGTAGAACACGTTCATGCAGTTACTGCACGTCCTAACTAATGGCCCCAAGAGGAACCTTTACATTTGGTATTAGATAGTTGATGAAGGATCAGCTATCGAATCCTCTGTATCAGCTATTGCCAGCAAACCGTAGCAACTTATTTTGCTAACTAGTAAAAAAGGAAGGTTAAGCCTCTTTTGAGTGAATGTTTTTTCATTTCATGACTCACAAAGCATTTACTGTAAAGACACTCAGCAGAATTGACAGTTCCTTTCGAGATTAGTATTCATAGGTGCATTTCATTAAATCTAGAAAGGTAGATGAGTTCAAAATTAGTTTTTGGATCCTTGTGAGAAATGAAGTACTGCAAAAGATGGTCTAGTCAAAAAGTGAGTGTAAAGACACAAAGGTCAGATTAATAAATAAGTAAATCAGACTTGAAGGTGACCCTGTATTCGGCAATCCTTTTTAGAGTTTGGAATAGCTCTGGGCCACCTTATTTTGTTTATTTATTTAAACAGAATTCCAACACTCTATTTCAGGTAAAATACAGTTGTTTCCTATGCCTAAGCATCCTTTTGTGGCAAGGGAAATGTAGGTATTAAGAGGTAATTTATCTTAATTTTTATTTTCACTGACCATGTATCTTGGAAGAATCCCTTCAAGTTTCTTTCTTAAATGGGAATTCAACAAACAGATGGAACAAATTTCACAATAAGCACAATAACCACGTCAGGTGTCGTTGCACCTTTTACCTGACAAGTCAAAACTGTAAGACATGCTAAGTGGCCGCATTGCTGTAAAAAAGAAACAAAAACAACAAAAAGAAAACGATTCAGCTATTAGAAAAGCAGAAGGGTAATGAAAACAAAAGATTAACTCCACTTGAGACATTTTGGATTCTGTTGCCTAAATCCAAAATGTGTCAGACATACTATTGCTTTACGGTAGTAAAGCTCAAAGTCTGAAAACTACAGTAGCATAAATGGGACTTGCAAACAGACCAATTATAAATATATTTGTATAGCTGTAGAATGAGATTTTTGGAATTCAATAAATCAAATATCAAAACAAGAGACAAGTATCTTAAAACTGGAATATTTTCAATTAAAATGAAAGAGTGAAAGAGGAGGGAAAAGAGAGAGAGAGAAGAGGAACAGAGAAGGAGCTGAAAAAAAATTAAAAGAACAAAGCCACATTTCACACAAGTTTCAGTGACCTGAAATAAAGATATTTCTAATTTGTTTAAGCATAATCTCCAATGATTATAATTAAACTAATAAAGAGAGACAGTCAAGCTAAGCTTGAGCATTAGTTTCCTTGTAGAGGATGGGAAAAAAGGCCAAACACAGTGTGATTTGTGCTGATTCTTGTTCTTTTTAAAAATCTTAGGTGGACTTAGCCTTTAAAATGTAGCCATATTATTATCTTCTTTCTGGGCCTCTAACCATTTTATTGCTAGGTAAGAAAGTGGTCAGATGTTCTTTATTTCTGGAAAGACCTATCTATATTTCCAATTAAACAGTGTAATTCAGGGAGTAGACACTCAAAATATTTCTCAACTGAAAACAAAATTTCAATGCAATAATCCAAATAAGCAGGCCAAGCCCAGTGACAAGAACGTACAAGAACGCATCAAAACTGACATCAGCTTATGTCTTACTTGACAGGTGATAAACAGGCAAGTTGGTATGAAAGGGCCTGTCAGCCACACACACCACTGCATTAAAAGATGTTTAAAAAAAGGTTGTGCTGGGACAAGTTTTGTTCATGAGAATAAATCTACGTGGTGAACGCAGTACGTGGCTGACTCAGAGCCAAATTTGGGAGTCAGGGTATTTTTCCTGCAGTTCATTAACTAGACAACATCAGCCACAGATAACAGCTACAGAAACAGTATCTACATCCCTGTCCAAACTTAGCATAATGGCAAATACATTGTAAAGCATAAGGGTGTTCATCACCTAATGCTGAGTCCTAATTGAAGGTTGATAAAACATGTACATGAAACAAAGTTTTCTCCAAGCTCCATTAGCTCAACTTGTTTGAGTCACAAATCTATGCTTTTAATTAAAAGGACATGTACCTCAAGGCTGTGTTTGTCTTGATAGCTTACTCTGATGATTTTATGAGGTCATTTCAAAGCTCACTCCGATTCCTCTACTCAAACCTCTCCCTTTGTGAGCGAGCTACCAAGATTAAATTACCATTTCCAAAGAAGTTTTGGATGGAGAGCAGCCAGCCACAGGCTGGCTTTTCTCAGTGGCAGCTCAGGGTACAGAAGACCTTACCTGTACGCATGTGTTGTGCGGAGCAGGGGGACACAGCCTGCGGCTGCTGGGAAGCACACGCCATAGGTCCGCCCGTATCGCAGAGGAGGAACTGCAAGGGTACAGCCCACCTCTCCCCAGCAGTCAAGTGTAGTTGTGCTCTTGACTGCTATTAACTGAGCAACAAGCAATAACCCTGGGACACGCACAATGTACCTTATACTCCCAAATATTTCACTCTAATGCTCTTTTTTTTCTCCTTTTTAAAAGCAACAAATATTTCTGTCCAGCTGGTGCAAGTGTCCCACATGGTGTTTCTACTTAGATTTATAATCCTTAAACCTCATTATCTTACATGTCGCTACATTAAATTACATTCAGTGGTCATCTAAACTATATGGCAGATCTATTTGTACCGTACTGAACATCGCTAGCATTACTCCATTCCCAGTTCTGCACATTTCCACATTTTATTCTAAAAGGAACTTTGGACATAACAATCATTTCAATGTGAGAAAGAACAAAACCTCACATTTCAACATAAAAAAAAATTATCAACACCTTTGCTCTTCATCATGCCAGCAGCAAGTAAATACTTGGGAAATAAAACTTGCATGCATTCCCTTTTACACCTCCAGTAATATGACATTTAATCCAAACAGTTCACTGGACTGAAGGGGAACTACCAAGGTTCCAAAACTCAAAAATTTAATTCTTTAACAAAAAATGACGAATTGGTGGAAGACAGGTATCCCTCATTGGAGGCCATGCCCTGAAATCAGCCCAGGAGGTCCTAACCAGGAATACTCTGAAATTTAACATTGTTTTTAGAAACTGTTTACTAAATGGGTTTGATGTCATTTATATCAGTTCGAAAATTTAAAGATCTATTAGATCAATTTTGCTGCCCCTGAGAGGACATGATAGTTCCCAGACAGAGAACATCTAAAACACTGAAACTGAGTGTTTGAGAGAAAAGTAAGGAATTGTTCCACATTTTTATAAGCTTCCTACATCTGGAAAAGTGTCTAGGCCTATTAGAAACATTAATTGATACAGCAAGCATAAAAGGAATCCAGACCAGAAACTGGAAGGCCCAAAGAAATAATATTCAAAACATCATGCTTTTAAAAACGCACCCAAGCATTCACCAAACTCTACTGAGCACTTCAAAAACAATGCAACAAAGCAAGACTGATGGAATTGTTTTTCTCTGGAGACAATGGGTTGTCACAATCTGGACCAGTGCCTTTAGGCACATGTGGCAAGCACAAATATTTTGCAAAAAAGCAGTGACAGGGAGTACATACGTGGATTATTTCATGCTTTTTAGCCATAAGATGCCACTTTTGCTCTTCAAAAATCCACCTGGCTCAGTTTTTCCGATACAGTTAAATACCATGCTCTTAAAGAAATGTAAGTCACAACGTAAGACTATATTTGTCATGCTTTTGTCATCAGAACCATTGAACTAATGCAAATTGGTGATCGTTGGAAAGCATAGTATTTTTATAATTTCATAGTGGGTTGTTGAATATACACTGCAGAAATTAAATGCTTTGCAGTGCAAGTCTGAATTATTCGCCCACTGAAAATATGTACAAACACATGCTCCATAACTTAGAAAATGAAGCAAAGACTTAGATTCAAAATAGAAGCAATAGATTCAGCAAAAAAAAATAAAAGCAGATTTTAAATTAAAGTAAGGAAATTGATGATGCTAACAGCAGGAAACAAAGAGAACAGAATTAATTAAAACCAGACATGCAAAGAATACTTGCAGGTATGTAAGGAATATTGCACTGGGGAGAAGCAATACCCATGCCATTCTGAGCAAATCTAAAATTAACTGTCATGTGCAACAAGCAATATAACACCATTAAATTTATCTAATACTTACAATAAAAACTTGAAGGGAATCAAGCTAAACCATACAGTATCTTATTTTTAAATATAACGTAGCACAAAGACTGCATAGCCCTAGCAAAGCCTGTAGGTTCTTTTTTTTTCTGAAGGGATGAGAATAATTTTATCTTCCATGACATCTACACAGACATGGCTAATTTTGCTGCTTCTTATGTGGGAAGTTTTCTGTGGATGCTGCAGGTAAAAACTAGCAATGTGCTTACCCAGCCTGCTACGCCTTATCTCATCAGGTGAGACTGGACGTAACTTCCTCTCTGCCTTGATTTCCTCCAGTATCCGTTCATGAAGGCTGCGTGGCCGTGGTGGGGTTGGTTTCAGTTTTCTTGCCGAGGCCTTGGGATATAAAGATAATCGTATTTACATAAAACAGTGCTTCCTTGAAAGTAGATTTCACACTTTTCTGGAAAAAAATGTGGAACGTTGTGATATGAATTTACATGCACTCAATTGTAAAACTCACGGAAATTGAAGAGAGGATTGTATTTTTCCCCAATTCATTATGATTTCCCAGAGAGATAAAGGGCTGCTGGTAATAACAGTTATTAATTGGTAGGTGCAAGATATTACACACTGTTCTTTAAGAGAACACGTTCTATATACAGAAGACAATAGTTTTGAAAGCCCATGTCAGAAAACATAATATTTAACCTATACCCTGGACACAAACATGCTTTAAAAAGCCACATTGTTGTTAGGAATGAAGCCCACTGGATTACATACAGGATTTAATGGAGGTCGCGATCGGATGAAATCCAGGATTATTTCATGGGCACTCTTTTTTAATCGAGGTGGAATGTCACCGTTGACCTGGAAAGGAGAAAGTGAAATATATATTTCCATGTTTTGCATTCGTATTCATGCAGATGATGAGATCAATTGAAAATTCGCAACAACCCTGAGAGAGCTTGCAGCGTTCTGACACCTGCACCAGACGTAAAACCTCACTCGTCCTGAAGAGAGCAACAATCCATATGCAGAGCACAGGCAAGCAAAAATGTAGATAACAGCTTTTCAGCTTTGCAGACAGATGCAGAATAACCACAACTGCAGCAGCTTTAATCAGCAATATTTAGGATTTTGAAATGATGAAATCAAATGTCAAGGCTGCAATCGTGTCTATGGGAGAATGCAGACGAAGACTGTACCTTGCTTGGAGGAAAAGTTGCCAACACCATTTTTAAGAACAACTATTTGAAACATGTCTCACTGTCAACCATTACACAGTCTCTAATACTCTGTTCTTTGCCTCTGAGAAAACATGGATGCTCTTTAAGTTTTCTTGATCTCCCTACCATCTCCCAAGCACTGACATGAAAGCAAAGCTAGAGCTGGCACAATCACCAATGATTTGCTTGTAGTAATGGATGAAAAACATGCTACCCTTGGGTTTTTTTGTCTTTACCACCCGTCTCTGTTGCTCTGGCCATGAAGAGGTGCCCTTGTGTGTAAATCTTAACATCTTTATCAATGATCTGGATGAGGGGATTGAGTGC